CAAGGCACTCGGTTATTTTTTGAATAACTTTTGATAGGAACAAGATAGAGACCTGCGGTTTTCAGCATTAGAAAGGAAATTAAATTCTTCATAAAATAGGTAAAAATCTGATTGGTTACCAATCGATCAATCACGTGAAAGATATACTGGAAATTTTGTGAATGATATTCCGAAAAACAATACCGATAGGATTTGAACTTGCGATATAGCCGTTCGTTTGAAAACATTGTTCTCTATCATTCCACGCAAGGCCGAGCTCGCTAGCACGTTCCGTTCAGGAGTTATCGGCCTTTTCCGGAGATCCTCGAAATCGGTCCAGCGACATCTATTCAAGTCGATAAGGGTCATTATATGGGTAATCGATCACGCTGAGTCGATCGGTAATATTTGCTTCTATTTCTGAGGCTTTCCAAAGCAGTTCTATCAATATCTAACTTTCCAGCATTTTCTCGCTTTCTTCACCATAGCATCGCAATATTCAACATAGTGGCATAGCTGCTTTAGAAATAGAAGCAAATGTTAGCGATCAACTCAGCGTGGTCGATTGCCCAAAGTCGGACCCATATCGACTTGGATAGATGTCGCTGGACCGATTTCGGGGGTCTGCGGAAAATGCCGATAACTCCTGAACGGAACGTACTAGCGAGCGCGACCTTTCGTGGATTGATAGAGAACAATTGTTTCTAACGAACGGCTATATCACAAGTCCAAATCCTATGGTATTTTTTTTCGGAATATCATTCACAAAATTTCCAGTATATCTTTCACGTGATTGGTCGGTTGGTGACTAATCAGATTTTTACCTATTTTATGAAGAATTTAGTTTCCTTTCTAATGCTGAAAACCGCAGGTCTCTATCTTGTTCCTATCAAAAGTTATTCAAAAACCAACCGAGTGCCTTGACTTCTGGAACGGATAATAGTTTTGGTTTTGATGTATCCCTAGAGGCAATATACTTTTTAAAATGAACTAGTTTCAATCAACAATAGTTCTATTATCATATTTAACCAATTATAGTGACATATTTGTACGACTTGAATCTTTCTTAATTTTTTGTTTCTTGCGTTTCTTCATTGAAAATTTTGTTATATATTATATTCTCCTTGAAAACAATGTAAAATATTAAGTAAACAAAAAAAAGAATAATAAAAATGCTACTAAAACAAATGATAAGAACTAATTCAGTTGTTCCTAATTGATACGAAATTCAGTAAAGTATATTTAAATTAGTAGGCGCTGATAATCTATTCTTTGTATCAGTAAGTGTGAATATTAAATGAGTGTTTATTGTTTTGAGAATAGAAACATAAGATGATTTACTTGAAGAGTTAACTGTTAAACAGACGATTCCATCGATCATCTGTCCATTGACACATACCTAAGTCAGTTGTATATTCATGACTATCAAGATGAAATAAATCGACAAGATCATATTTATTCGAGTCTGAATTTTTCCAATATACTAATGCAGGTATGTGATTTGATGAATAGAATAATGTACTGTAGTTTGATTATTTGGGGCAAAATTAGATGGAATAACTAGAAGACCTAAACGTATTTTACTGATTATTGATGGAAAATCTAATTATTGAGTAGAGTTTACTTAGAGCATATAGATGTCCATCACGATCGGAAATTCGTCGCTGCTGCAACGCGATGAAAAGCATTTCACCGCTGTCGAGATAAGATTTTGAAAAAGTTGCCGCTGCCGCACCGCTACCGCCGCAGCGGTAGCGTCGGTGCCACCATGGACATCTCTGTTAGAGCGTATCAAAAGTAGTGGCCGCCCTATCTCAGTTTCGTATAGACGGTTTGACGAAATTTTCTTTTTATATAGACTGATAGTAAAAACAAAGCTGTACATATCTACACTAATTGATCATTATTCATCTCATATAATAATAATCAAATTTCCATTAGACTTGTTTAGCTATGATATGTAATGATAACATTACTCCATATTAGGGCTCCTAACAGGGTGAAACAATTTCCCCTGTGTCCTGTCTTGTCCTGTTTCCATTTTACCCTGTCATGACCTGTCCTCCGATTGTTCTCCTCTGCCCTGCCGTACACTGTCCTGTCTTGCGATTTTCTCGTCCTGCCCTGTGGTTGCTCTATCCTGTCAAAAAGAACGTAACCAAGTGGCAATTTTCTCTGAAAATATTTTGCGTATAATTGAATGTACTATAGTCTTTCTTTATTTGCTCCCTTTCAAAAATACTGTAACATATAAAGAATGAGAATATTTTCTTTTTACACTAGCCAATAATAGTTTCACGCAAAAACAAACAGATAAGTGAAACAAACCAAAAATAAATTATAAGTGAATAGAGTGCAAGCCACATGAAAAGTTTCCCAACAAATTAGTTTCAAATCGATTTTTTTCTCATTACCAAAAATAGATGAAAGTGCACGATTTCAATCCAATTAAAGTAGATTTTTCCGGACAAAAAAGTGGATCACTCCAATTTTTCGGATTTTTTTATATGAATTTTGATCGATTACAAATTACTATTCTCTTTTATTAACTAATTTTATACTGGTGTGGAAACAGATTGGGTGATACCACTTGAAGATGAAACAATATTTAAGAAGACATATTCGAAAACAACAATGAGAAAGTAGATATAGTAACCTAACCTATACATAGAACAGCATTATATTCCATCGAACAAAGATGGATTGTTCAATCGACTCACATTAAAATACTTTGCTGAATTCATAATTCAATCGAAATCTCGCGCTAGAATTGCGTCTCTGCAAAGAATAGCCAGCAGCGACACCTTTTAGACTTACTGATTCGAATGAAAGGGGACAATTTTCAGTACAACTCGTACTGGACAAGCAATTGAAACATGTGTCCTGTCCTGTCCTGCAAAAATTTTCTGCAACTACCCTGTCCTGTTGAGAGCTCTGGTCCATATTGTCTTCGATGTGTATTCTTGTCTTGATGTTCTCTTTTCTTTATTCTTTTTTTTCTTGTCTCTTTGAATGCTTAACCGTCTAATACATATATCAGAATATACAAAAAAGTAGTGTTGACAGGGAAAAAAAGGAATGGAGAAACAAGTTCAACAAGTTTTTCATCAACTGTTCGCAATAATCGACTTGGTTATTTACACAAAATTGCATTCGTTAAATCCATTTATCGAATGTTTTTATACTCTTATGTATTCAAAGAGTTCATGAATACCATCATCCTCATCCTTGCTCTCAAGAACAAAGAGACGATCAGGACAAGAATACACACTGAAGACAATCTGGAGTAATATATGTTATCGTTACATATCATAGCTAAACAAGTCTAATGGGAATTTGATTATTATTATATGAGATGAATAATGATCAATTAGTGTAGATATGTACAGCTTTGTTTTTGCTATCAGTCTATATAAAAAGAAAATTTCGTCAAGCCGTCTATACGATATTGGGATAAGATCGCCGCTACTTTGGGTATGCCTTAAGTATAATAAGATTAATTAATGATATATTTGATGATGATGATGATGATGATGATTGACTGATTGATAAAAATGAAAACACGAATTTATGAAGGATTATTATGATTAAAATTAGATAATGGAACATTCTCAATAAAATACATACATGAGCACATTGTAAACTTGAGTCATTAGTGGTAGAAATAAGAGGATATTGATAAAATAAAATAGTTTGAGTATTTTGAACTACAAAACTCATCTATTACATATATTTAAAAAATATGGATTAAAATTTGTTTTACTATGAAATAAAGCGTTCAGTTCCATTGTATATATTGAACGAAAAATGATTATTAAAAAAAGAAATGTTTCCATTGAATAAAGCGTCTTGTTTGTAATATATTGTCCCTTTTACATGAACTTTGTTTTACCATTATTTTAAAATGATATACTAAGAAAAGCATGCAATCGATCGTATGTCAAGGTGAGCTTTCGTTTCATATGAATAATTATTTTTTATATGAAAAGATTAATCAGAGAAATAAAATCTAAGTATATTAAAGAAAGGAATAAAATGTCCACATATATGCATATATAATTATACACACATATATGTTAGAAATGAAATGACTCATATAATAAATAGACACTGCATTGTATGTGTAGTGTAATGTAAGGTGAAAAATGTCTTCTGTTTTCTTCGGAAATAATTTACAACAATAGTTAAATTCCATATTTCGTTGATTGAGTAGGATATCGATTTTGGTACTAGTGATTAAATAAATCAAGAAAATTAGGCAGTTTTCTATAAGAAATGTAATCTTGTATTAAACCTCGCAAAAGTATGTAGAGTATCCGAAAAGTCATCTACCGAAAAAGAAAATTATAAACCTCCACTGCGATTAAACCAAATGAAGTGACTTTTTTTCTAATAATAGAGGATATTCGTAAATTTTTATTCATAAAGCTAAAGTTCGTAAATACTTTCTGAAAACTATAAGTTTCGGATTCAATACATAAAAAATTCCTTTTTTTTTCAAATTTTTGAGAAACAAAATGTCAGATTTAACGTATAAAACTGAAACAGTGCAGCAGAAAACTCAGTATTTAACTTTTTGCAACTCGAAACAAAGAAGTTTTTTAATGTATTGAATTAGAAATTATATAGTTTTCAAGTGTATTTATGAAATTTAACTGTGTGAATAAAAAGTTGCAAGAATCTTCCCTCTAATCAGAAAAAAGCCACTTGATTCGTTTTAACCGTAGCAGAGACTTATAGGCTTTTTTTCATAGGTCACTTTCAGAACACTTTGTATAATTAGAAAAAAGATATGTTCGATTGAAGATTTCATCTTTAATGGATAAGACAAACGAAAAATGAATGAATTTTTATATCGAATTTTGTATCGATTATTGTTATGGCAAACAATTTAAACAAATGTCAAATCTGTTAAAAGATCTTTGAAATAGAAAAAAAAATGATTAAAATATGTGATTAATGAATTGCCATTTGATTAAATAATATTCTTTTCTGAATATCGGTCCATGATTTTTTTTTATCTAGTGACATCGTCCAACACCGTGTGGTTGTTGTTCATAAGATAATGTTTTCATAAGTTGAACATTAATATTAAATCGATTTAAAAGTAATTTCAGAAATGATTCAGCATGTAAGTTTTCTATATAACAACGACTAAGATCATGCCATCGTCTCATATATTTTTCCATTATGGACATGGAACCAATGGCAAATCGATCATTATAACCACCAAAACCATTTTCATTTGGAATAACTAATGTCGAATTATTTACGGGTTCTAATGCTTGAGGAACTCTATTGAGAACAGAATCCGGTCGAGCTCGTATTAAAAATTCATAACGAATATTCATTTTCTGTTCATATTCTTTTACTAAATCGAAGCATTCAGCAAGTCCCCACAATTGTTGATAGTAAGGTATAACATGTGATCTACTCATAGGTGGATAATAGAATGTTTTACAATTCGATGGTATATGTGGATCAATAACTCGATCTTCATAAAGTATAGTTACTGTCGAATTCAAGTAGGCACGTATTTGTTTCAAATTGACATCAAACGGAATCTTTTCTAATTTATGAGACGATGAAAGAAAAAGAAATGCATCAATGTTACCTTGAAGATGATTACGAATAGTACTCCAAGTTGGAACCCAAGCTTCTTGAATACATTCAGCAAAACCAGTTACACATACAGCTGCTCGTTTTTGTATTATGAGAGGTGAAGATGGTGAAATAATTGATGGAAATGAATAACCAACTGAATGGAGATCAGCAAGCCATGCATCCATTATATTAACTTCTTTTGATTTCCAAAATCCTGCTTGAGCTATATCTCTTGCTAGTTGAGCTATTCTTTTCCAAAGTAAACTGTAAGATGATGACCATGAAACAAGGAAACGAACGAATGAACCAGATTCATGATATAATTGATATTCATCATCCATATCTTTAATAAATGAATGACTATTTCTTACTTGTTTAACAGTTGATGTGCCAAATATAAGACGACCACCAATATCCCACAGAAGTCGTTGTACCCAAAAACTTCGCCATATATCACATACACGAAATGTTGTTGTAATAGGTAAATAAAGACCCCAAAATGCTTCATAATATGTTATCGTATTTTGTGTATTATATGGAGAAAATGTAAATGGTTCAAGAGCAATAGGTGGTTGATCTCGATCAAATTTAATTCGTCCAATTGAAAGTGGATGAGATAAACGATACTATGTAAAATAATGGTTAGTACGAAAGTTTCTAGAGAAAATATTTCTCTATTTGTTGATCAATTACAAGACTCAGTAGAAAATTGAAAGCATCGGATTACGTGAAACTTATACGGTAGAATATATGAATGAATCTTTGAAAGATCCCGAAACAATAATCTATAAACGAATTTCAGTGGGTTTCTTTGACGTTTCTATCAATAATAGAACTTCTAATGAAAGATACATTGACCTCTCCGAAAGTATAACATCAGGTTGATTAGTTCTCAAGGGTTGCTACGAAACTTTCAGTTTTTAGATCACATTGTAGAGGATTGTGTTTTTCTCTTTACGTGCCTGCAAAAAAATTGATCACAGAAGGTATTCAATAAGTGCATTATTACTGTGATAGACGTGTATACTATTTAAGTGCTGATTGCAAAAAAAATCAGAGCCTGACGCGGTCAAATAAAAGGCAGTGAAGCTAAGCTAAATTGAGCTTCTTGATTAAGAACATAAGAAAGTAGCACAAATGTCAATTCCAAATGAGATACAATAGAATTTGCCCTTTTCTAGATCTGCTTGTTCTTCTGCTTCCATCCATATTTTATTTTCAAGTCCTTCAAAGATCCATTCGTAGGTTCTCATGTGAATCTCACAAAAATCTGAATATATATTCAGAAAGAGTACGAAAGATTGATTCTAATCCAATGCTTTCAATTGTCTGCTGATTACAAAGAAGAAATTTTTTTCCAGAAACTTTCACACTACCCGGTAATAGAGATTTGTTTGATTCATTAAATGAATACATAAATAAAAAACTAAAATAAAAAAAAACTTACAATAGCATCAACATCAGGATCAAGATCAGCAAGATATTGTTGAATATAAGCATAAGTATTATTTTCAAGATTTCGTCTAACTGAATGCCATCCATCTTCAGTAACATTTCTTAGTTCATCAATAGGAAATCCTCTTGGCCATATATTTGGATGACCAAATGATCCATAAATATTAATAAATGGTGATCGTTGTCGATGAAATCCTATCCATGGAACATGTTTTTGTTGAACAATTTTTGGTAAAAAATAAATATCATTTGTTTCAAGTAAATTATCATCATCAGATTCGAAAATAATTTTAGCACCACATTTAATAGCAATTAAATAACCAAGA